TCAAACAATTAACTAAGCATCCCTCTCATTATTTAAGTGGCAGCAATTTCCCCTCTACAGAAAATAAATTTATTTGAGAATTTTTTATGGGACATGAACAGATTCAAAGTATTTGCAAGGATTTCTGGGAAAAACAGTCTGGCAGACACTGCTATTAACTCTTGGTAGTACTTCACTATGATTTTCACCTTCACTGCTTGGTTGTGTTCTATGTATCCTCTTCACCCCCAAAGGGCACTGTGATTTCCACCACACCAACAGAAAGAGAAGAGACAGGGATAGCATAGGGTACAGGTGTCTCATGTCAAATCTAGCTGTGTCAGTTGCTTTCAATATTTTATGTTCTTGATGATGGGCGGTATCCACCATATCATCTGTTTAACCAGATTCTGGTTCCAGCCGATTCACATTTGCACTGAATAACACAATCTGACTTGGCAGAGTTGCATTACTGTATCTATTGTTACTTGTCCTTCCCCCCCCCCATATCAAGAAATTTCAAGTTATTTCGATAATTAAAACTGAGTGGCATGAGTCTGCCTCTCAGGATGCAAACTGTTAACTAGAAGAGATAAACGGTAAGTCTTCTTTGCTTGAATTTAAGCCCCTTGTCTCCTGAAAGTCCCAAACATGTAAGGAACGCACCATTTGTATTTTAAGCTCATCACCTTTTGGACAAGTTAAGGCTCCTGTCAAATGCGCTCTTGTGACATGATCTAAAAGAGAAATCTGGTCAAGTCTCTGAGCCATCATCCCATTTCTAACCTACTGCTCTGGCTTAATATACTTAGAATTTCAGTGAAACAAGAACCCTCAAGATACACAAAGGAGTACCCAGAAATGATGCCTCAGATCTCTGTGGTTTGTCAGTCTGGGTAGAGATTTGAATGCTGAAAAGATGGCAGATCAAAACTTCTCTCATAGCTATTCTGCTCAAATAGTGGGAGCATGTCTCGGGGGCCCTTATTCTAAAAACAAAAAGCATCACCAGTGTTACAAAAATGCATAGAAAAATAGAAATGGCTTCAAAGATTTTACCAGATTAGGTTTTAGATTCAGATTTAATACCACTCATTAATCCTTATGTTAGCCCAGTGCCTAACAGTCACAGCCATGGATGAAGATTTAGCTGATCTAAATTTTACACTAGCATTGATCACAAAGATCCCTAGCCAAAACACTCACAGTCTAAATACAAGGGACAATAGGCAGATACAGATATCTGGGGGAAAGTCAGGAAAGAATAAGACAACATCAGTCAGCAGGAGAAACTGTACAAAAAATGACAGTGTTTGCACTCAGTAATAATTATTATTTGAAAGATATTACTTCCAAGCAAAAATTTACTCTATTGACCAGACATTTTGTTATTGTTAATATGTTATTATTGTTAGCATTGCTATTTATTTTGTCACACTGCCTCTATCAGAGCTTGAAGAATACCCTGCCAACTTGCCGGTGAGCTGAGGAGCAGACCCGCCCCCTATTAGATACAGAATTAAAATTTTCATTTAATGGGCAGAAAAGTTGCTAGCACTTCTGCACATGAAAGTATAGTTTTGGAGCAAACCAGTGGACTCCGTCTTTGCCCTGGTGTAAATCATCTGATGCAACAGCAGAGCTAAGGGTAACGAGTACAGTGGATTTCCATATTCACTGAGGATGGTGTGAGATGACTAGATCACTGTGACACAGACAGGAACTAGGTCTAGACTAGGCACTCCTACTGCACTTTTCTATTGCACTTTCTAGGAAAAATTCTGAGATAATTAATACCAGGAAAGATTTCAAATAAACAGCATCAAAATGAACTTATTTTCCTAGGGAATTTGTGTACAGGTGCCACGAAGCATACAAAACACACATGACAACAGATCCCTTGCTGCTGAGAGCTGAATTGTACCATTAACTGAAAAAAAATTTCACCAGCTGGACATATTAAGAAAAAGGGATTCTTCAAATGCACGTACACACCTACAAGCCAAATGCAGTTATGAGTCAACAATCTGGAAGCTAATAGGGAAGGCTGATCCCTGCCCAAGTGCTACCTTTGCCACCTGTCTTCACTTTCCCCATAGCAGAGACAGGACGGAGAGTCAGGCAGGTTCCCACTGAAAAGCCGCTGGGCTACTCAATGCCTAATCCTTCACCTTTCTTTTTTTTGTTTGTTTGTTTTAAATACATGTCTGATTTAGTTGTTCAGATGGTAGGACATCTGGTACAGTTTTCAGGCCCTGCTTTAATTTCATGATTTAACATCTAGTACACAGGCTTGTTTTACCATAGGAATTTTCTGCCTCCCACGCTTTTCTTTCTAATTGGAGCTGTGTAAACCATAGGCTGTTGGTGCCATAAAAATCATCTATAGTATGTCTGCTATTCATTTAAATAACAAATTGCAACTTTTTATTTCTAATTCTTACATGCTGGCTGTAAGTTGTACACATATGATAAATTTGGAGGCTTGCTGTGCTCTATTAGCTTAGTTTATGAAGCATTTGAAGAGGTCCTAATAAGACAGACTTCAAAAAGCAATTCTCCCAGCGTGGCTGCAAGAGGAGCACTGGATTACATACTGTAAGATCTCAAGTCAGTTAAGGCATAAGCTTGAGATACATTGCGTAGTGGATCTAGTGTATGTTCCATACACAGTGCTCCCCAGGTTCAGTTGCTGAACATCAGATAATGAAAGACACTAAATTAATTAGAAAAGAGAGTGCCCTAGCTCCATTCCCAGATCTGTCACTGACCTGTCATATGCCTTGGAGCAAGCCACTCCCCACAGCTGGGCTTCAGCTCTCTCCCCTTTGTCTGCGTGGTCTATTTGAAAACAAATCCCTTGCTCTGGAGGAGAGGCGTACTGTGGGCAGGCAGTGCTGAAGAGCAATAGGGACTCAGCTGCAGACATGGCCCTGTGTACCCCAGTCACTTCCCTGTTATATTATAAATAATTTTACCAATAGGACTTCATAACAAAAGTCATAATAAATTTACTGTTGTGTCAGCTGATCTCATGTAGTTTAAATATCAGTATATCCAAAATTAAGAACAAAATAAATCTATTCTTTTCATATGGTAATTATTTTTTTAAATCCTCCTTTATCTCAGAATTCGAATTTTTGGTGTTCTTTGGACTAGGAACTGACGATCTGAAAAGTGTCACATGAAGTTTTGGGGGTTCTTTTGTTAATGAGAAATAAGGGTATAGGATAGGCCACACTACCTTCAACAAGGGAACTTCTTCATGGTAGATGTATGACTTAATAAAAGGCCTAAACATCCATTTCTTTGCTAATTCTTCATTTAGGGATTTTTAAGAGTTTGTGGAGTTATTTTTAAAATAAAAAGTTGACCTGGTCCTCATGTGGGAAATAAGGAAAGCCCTTATGTGGGAAATGAAGCCCACTCCCAGAGTCCTTAGCCTCACCACCACGGCTTCCTCACTCAGCTTCTCTGGCTCCGTCTGCCAGAACACTGAAGCAAGGAAAGGATGCTGGCCCCAGCTCTGCATCCGCACTTTCTACTTGTGAGCCTGGTCATGGGCAGTTTTAATTTCTACCAGACAGCTTTCTTCCAATCCCTGGGCACGGCTCATGGGTTAGCAAGTGCCACGAAGCTCTCCCTGTAGGCAGCATGGATGTGGCCACCCTGTCTGGAGAGGAGAAAGTCATGGTGGGCCAGTGGTCCTCCAGGTAGAGACCTGTCCCTAGCTGTAACACCGACTGCTGCAGGGAGGTGTGGGATCACTCCCTACAATGGCTATCAACACAGCCTACAAGCGGACAGCTACAGAAACACTTAAAGAGCAGGCTTAAGTATGCCAATGCCCCAAATTTTGTCCTTTCTACCCACACTGCTAGCTGTTCCTGCCCTCTGCATGTTTCAAAATAGCTGAGGTTGGGATATCTGCACTGAGCACTCAGTACTGCCTGTGCCCAGCCCATGCTGACTGCACAAAAGACAGTTTTGAGCTCGTGTGAAGGCAGCTAGCAAGATTTTAAGTTTTCTCACTAAGTGCTTCAGATCCTAAACCTGCTCTCAGGCTGGGAGCCTAAGGAAGCCTTGCAGTGCTCACAGGAGTAGGCTTTAGAGTTCATTCTTAACAGATTAATTCATTTACATATACTGAAAATCACGCAATTTTTGTGAATGTAATTTTAGACTGCAGGAGAAACTGGGCATGACACCCAATGAGGTATTTATAATAACAAAATACTGTCACATAGTATCAAGCCAATTGCTAAAAGAAAGGGCCTTGATGGGAGACAGATCTTGGGTCAGACTGCTAAGTCATCTTCAGGCTACGGTAGTCCCAAAAAGGATCAGGGACCACACTAGCCTCCTTCAATTTGCTACCAAAGCTTTGTGTGCTTGGATCTTATTATGCAGGGAATTCATACTTGGAGCAGCATGAGTGGGGAAAAGAAGTGGTTACTGTAACTTCCATCCTAGAATTTCCAGGTGGCTCAGCTTTCTTTAGCACAGGGGAAAGATTCAAAGCCTCAGTTTCCTGCACAGGCAAACTTTTCAGCTCAAAATCCATGACGGATACTCCAATTTCACACACAGCATCTCCCACTTTCTCCTACAGCACTTAGGCAGCTCTGTGTGTGCTAAAGCAGAAGGACCAGCATAGAAAGAGCAACCAGCCTTTGTCAGGAGGAAAAGCACATCATCTACCGTGCCAGCTCACTTTGGCTAAGGGGAGGCAGAAGGGTGTAGACCTCATATGAACCAGTTGAAAAGAGCACAGGAGCAATTCCCACCTTCCTCCCAAAATTCAGAGCCTAAAGGATGAGAACATTGAAAAGGCCCTAAGCCACAAAAGACATTTCTTCTTTCTCTTCTCCCTCTGCCTTCCAGGTTGCTGCCCAGCCCCTGTGGGCAGAGCCGGGTGTGTCCCTGCTGCCCCCCCATCCTCTCCCTGCTCTGCCACAGCTTTTCCCACGCACTGCCCGGAGGAAGAAAGGGTTAAGGCAGGTGGGTGGCTCTGCATTTACCTGCTCTGGTCCCAGTTGGCAGCAAAAAGGACAAGGATCTTCCTGCCGGAGTGGTCCAGGTTGGCCAGCCCGCCGGGGAAGCCATCCTTCAGCGCCTGCTTGATGCCCGGGTCTGTGGCCTTGAAGCTCTTGAACATGTCCAGGTTCTGCTGGCGGTATTCAAAGTACTGGGCCAGGAGGCGAAACGCCTCGAAGTGCTGAAACTTCCTGGCCCGCAG